AGACTTGGGGGGAAACAGCAGAAACTGGGGTTGGGACATATGGAGGGGTGCTTGAAGAAAGGGATGGGGAGAGGAATGCTCAAATATTTTAATGGTTTTTGCTCATATTCCATATATTTGTTGAAATTTGATATTTTTTTCCAAAAACAGAGGGTCTGAGGAGGTCGGCCCGGCGTCTAAGACTAGGTTTCAGACTCTAAGATTCTACCCGGGTAGCTATTAATAATGAAGACGCACTAGCTATTAAGGCACAATTAAAATGGACTTTTGAGGACGGACAACAAAGTTACAAACTTAGATATATCAAAGCTTAACTATAATGCTGAGAGGTGGGGATTGATTAAAGAGTCAAGATCCATTGCAAATCTTTGAAACGTTTTTCATTACGAGTTCTGACTTTACAGAACTTTGAAATTCTAAAAAATATATCTTTTTCAAAGTTTACCTTGTGTCATATCCTGAAGGTAGTTCTGAGATAAAGGAATGAATGTTTGCTCGTCTAGCGGCCTCCAATACCTCCTCCATTGACACAACACGACTGTTATCCCCGTATTGAATATTCTCTGCTATTGTGAGATCAAACAATGTCGGTTCCTAGAAATAAACATTTTAAAATGTGAATTTGCTTATTATAGAATTTGTGTAAGAAATCCAAACTAAAGCCGTGGACGTATTTTTTTGCGTATTAATATTTTTTAACCTTTTTAATTAGATAAACTTGCAAATATATTTACGCAGCAAGCCTTAATAAAAATCTTTTGTTGGCAAATCATTATTCAATGGCCACAAAAATCTACTCTCAGCTTTTTTTTACAAAGAAATGTTGCCTTTGCCACAAACTCTGATTTTCTAATCCCAATATCTTTGCAACATAATGTCGTAGATCTTTTAAACAATGAATTCTGTTAGATCCATAATCAAAGTTTGAAATATCAAAGGTTTACACCATCAGTTTCCAGTTTCTAATTGGATAATGAGCTAGATAGAAAGATAGATGTTACCGCTATGCAATTTCTATTGGTTCAGAAAAGACATCAAACACATGACTGAACCCTGATTGAATCAGGCGCTAATGGACCCGGCATACAAGAGTGATTTGTAAAACTTTTGCAGATGGATTCAAAGCTAATCATCCAGAGAAACTTCTGTGACATGAAATAAATAATCCAGGTCTGCATTTCCAGGCTTTGTAAAATAATCCGTTGTAACATGAGCTACAAACAAACACCTTACAGCATTAAAATCTTCATGTTCAGGTTTCAGAAAGTTTAAGTAGGTTAGTCAAATGCCTGGAGACAATTCAAAACCGGTCACGTTGCCATAAATTGTATAAAATACCTGCGAAACCAACCCAAAGGATGCTCTTACAAAGGGAAGATTTAAACCTTTGATATCTTCTCCTTCAAGCAGTAGAGATCCAGAATTCAAATCATAAAACCTTAAAATATATTTGCCATAGGCTATCATATACAATTGTACAATTGATGTTTCTACATTCTATAATAAATGCAATATGCATTCTATATCATTATTTGAACACTATAACCCCAAACCATGTTCTAGACAAACATCACAAACATACATAGTTCTACGCCTGTTTGATAAGTTAAACTGGTGAATTCTTGCTTTTTAAAACAAACAAACCGTTGCATCAGCTGAATTATCGTGGATTTCCCGCATCCTGAAGATCCAACTAGAGCTATTTTTTCCCCACTCTTCACCTTCAAATCCATTCCTTTTAGAACCTGAACAAAATGATTTTTTTCTCAAAGGAGTTGATTCTTTGCCACAAACTCTGATTTTCTAATCCCTATATCTTTGAAACCCAATGTCGTAAACCTTTGATATTTCAAACTTATATCAATTGATCTAACAGAACTTATAGTATGAAATATCAAAGGTCTACGACATTGGAATCTGAAGATAAAGGTTGGAAAATCAGAGTTTGTTGCAAAGTCTCAATTCCTTTATGATTGAAATATGAATAATAACATTCATTAGCTTGTTCTCCTTGTGAATTGTGATAAAGATTAAAATCATTATTATTTCTCTCCAACAATTAGAACTATGCCAGCTTATGATTTCCCTCGACCTTGACTTTTTAAAATATATATACTTACACATCCTAGCACCAGTCAGAGGCGTGTACTGTATACTTACTCATCCTAACACCAGTCAGAGGGGTGTATACTTACTCATCCTAACACCAGTCAGAGGGGTGTATACTTACTCATCCTAACACCAGTCAGAGGGGTGTATACTTACTCATCCTAACACCAGTCAGAGGGGTGTATATTTACTTATCCTAACACCAGTCAGAGGGGTGTATACTTACTCATCCTAACACCAGTCAGAGGGGTGTATACTTACTCATCCTAACACCAGTCAGAAATGGGTGTATACTTACTCATCCTAACACCAGTCAGAGGGGTGTATACTTACTCATCCTAGCACCAGTCAAAGGAGTGTATACTTACTCATCCTAACACCAGTCAGAGGGGTGTATACTTACTCATCCTAACACCAGAACACCAGTCAAAGGGGTGTATACTTACTCATCCTAACACCAGTCAGAGGGGTGCATACTTACTCATCCTAACACCAGTCAGAGGGGTGTATACTTACTCATCCTAACACCAGTCAGAGGGGTGTATACTTACTCATCCTAACACCAGTCAGAGGCGTGTATGCTTTCTCACCACTCAACATGTGCTATGCATAGTTACACTAGACCTTTTCGATACTGTACACTTTCAACTGTTTACTAATATTGATACACTATAGGTTAGGCCAGAATCAACTTATAATAAACAAATATGCAGTACGCTCTCGGTATTGTTTATAGGCAATACAATTAGTAAAGGATTAGCGTACATCATCACTCTATACACTATAACCTCGTTGTGTAAACCTGAAAGCTGAATAAGTTAGCCCCCATTTGAAAAAAAAATCTAAACTTGTCTGACCTGAACCTCTGATCTGGTTGGGTATCTGAACTCTCCCTGCTGTATCTCTAGGTTCCCCTCTAACCCTGGCAACCTGAGTCCGGTGGCAGGGTTTGCGTCTATTGATGGTTTTCTATCAAGAAGCTGGAATATTCTAGCAGCAGATACCAGAGCCTACAATTTAATATCGTCATTTGTCTTCGTAATTTTAAGTGACCTCCTAATTCAAACAGAGCATGCAGTATGCACGATTCCCAAAATTATTTTCAAAACTGATTAATAATGTATGTGTGTATGACATTGTTGTTTTTCTATGTTAAAAAATTTGGACAATTTCATCCATATTGTTACTGAAGCAGAATCATATATGCAATATCTTTTCAAAAATCATGCAAAATTCAGTTTAAATCCACATTAGTGTTTAAAAACTAATCAGTGACATAACCAATATTTACCTTGTTAAAATCAGCTGTAAATGCAAATGAGTATCCAATCATACCAGCTCCACCAATTACAGCGTTGGTCACTATATAGACATTCTGGAACTCCAGGCAGTCCTAGGAAAACAGTTGGTCACTATATAGACATTCTGGAACTCCAAGCAGTCCTAGAAAAACAGTTGGTCACTATATAGACATTCTGGAACTCCAGATAGTCCTAGGAATACAGTTGGTCACTGTATATAGACATTCTTGAACTTCAGACAGTCCTAGGAATACAGTTGGCCACTATATAGTCATTCTGGAACTCCAGGCAGTCCTAGGAAAACAGTTGGTCACTATATATAGACATTCTGGAACTCCAGGCAGTCCGAGGAAAACAGTTAGTCACAATATATAGACATTCTGGAACAGGAATTCAGTTGGCCACTATATAGACATTATGGAACTCAAGGCAGTCCTAGGAAAACAGTTGGTCACTATATATAGACATTCTGGAACTCCAGACAGTACTAGGAATACAGTTGGGTACTATATAGACATTCTGGAACTTCAGGCAATCCTAGGAATACAGTTTGTCACTATATAGAATTCTGGAACTCCAGGCAGTCCTAGTCACAATATATAGACATTCTGAAACTCCAAACAGTACTAGGAATACAGTTGGGGACTATATGGACATTCTGGAACTCCAGACAGTCCTAGTAATACAGTCGGGTACTATATAGACATTCTGGAACTCCAAACAGTCCTAGTAATACAGTTGCTCACTTTACAGACATTCTGGAACTCCAGGCAGTCCTAGTAATACAGTTGGTCACTATATAGACATTCTGGAACTCCAGGCAGTCTTAGAAAAAGTGCTGAAGAGAAAAGAGTGTGTTTAAATAATTTAGTGATTTAAAAAGTAACATAATCCATCGGACTAAATCGGGTTTACAACTAAAAAAAATTCTGGCTTCTCTCATAAAATTTCCATATTCTAAAAATGTTTATAGATCTTAACCTGAACGACAAGAACTCCTCCATAGTAGGTTGTGATACCCCAGCCAAAGAACTGCATGGCCTGGGAGAACCCGAAGATACCTCCACGTTGATGAGCTCGGAGTAGGTTCCTCTTGTGTGGGACGGAGAGAAGATAAATGTACTTCTTGATATACATCTCCTCACATCTTAGTCCTGCAATATGATCAGGAATTTAAATCAAGATTGTTAGAAATGCACTGAACAAAGGAATTAAATACATAAATTAAAGTTTGTGGCAAGAGTTGGATAATCAAATACTGTATTTTAAGCTAACCTGCTACAGTTCTGATATTAGTGATTGCTTCAATTGCAAGTTTGGAAGAATCTTCGAATGCTTTCTTCTCTACAGTGTCAACCCCCATAGTTATTCTCATTTCCATTAGAACTGCCAGTATTAGGAGAGGAAAGAATATAGTGCAGACCAATCCCAGTTTCCAGCTGTAGAACAAACCAAGGAATATTGCAATTATCATTCCTAAATAAAAAAATAATAATAAAACTGATTTAGATCTTTAAAATAACTTTTGTTTTACTCACAGCATCAATTCAACCTGTAGTATCCTAGGACTTACCTGCAAAATCCTGCAGTACTGATCCAGCTTAAGCTCCAGTGGCACCCTAGACCTTACCCGCAAAATCCTGCAGTACTGATCCAACTTTAGCTCCAGTGGCACCCTAGACCTTACCTGCAAAATCCTGCAGTACTGATCCAGCTTTAGCTCCAGTGGCACCCTAGACCTTACCCGCAAAATCCTGCAGTACTGATCCAGCTTTAGCTCCAGTGGCACCCTAGACCTTAATTGCAAAATCCTGCAGTACTGATCCAACTTTAGCTCCAGTAGCACCCTAGACCTTACCTGCAAAATCCTGCAGTACTGATCCAACGTTAGCTCCAGTAGCACCCTAGAATTTGCCTGCAATACCCTGCAGAACTGATCCAACCATTGCTCGGTGCTCCAGAATCAGTATAGACCTTACCTGCAATAACCTGCAGAACTAATCCAACCCTTGCTCCAATAGTACCCTGTACCTTACCTGCAATACCCTGTAGGACTGTTTCAACCCTTGCTCCAGTAGTACCCTGGACCTTACCTGCAATACCCTGTAGGACTGATCCAACCCTTGCTCCAGTAGCACCTTGAACCTTGGCAGCATCTCCGGACAATCTTGCACACAACGCACCTGTAATATGGTAATATTAAAATATAGAAAGTAAATTATAATTTTAATTCTTAAAAGCCGAAAGATTTAAAATATACAGATTTTCTTTAACTTTACTAACAAAATCATAGAAAATGAGATAATATTAAGTGTGACGAAGCCAAAATTAAATACTTAAATAACCTCAACATGGTGAATATTGTACCTGTACTCTCCTATCTAACCTATCCTCTCACTAAGCATGAATATTGTACCTGTACTATTCTCTTATCTAACCTATCCTCTCACTAAGCATGAATATTTTACCTGTACTATTCTCCTATCTAACCTATCCTCTCACTAAGCATGAATATTTTACCTGTACTATTCTCCTATCTAACCTATCCTCTCACTAAGCATGAATATTTTACCTGTACTATTCTCCTATCTAACCTATCCTCTCACTAAGCATGAATATGGTATCTCTACTATTCTCTTATCTAACCTATCCTGTCACTAAGCATACCTGTACTATTCTCCTTCCTATCGAACCAACCCATCTCCTGTCTAAGCATTGCTGAGAAGGCTTCTCTTCTCAATCTCAATGTTAGGTTCTCTCCTGATATACCGAACATGAAACCTTGTAGGAACATGGCAAGCATAGATCCTATACCTAGCAGACCGAACATTATCGCATAGTACACAGATTCATCTCTGGCCTGAAAAAAATCACAATTCAGTTTGAAATTAAAGAAAAATAAAACTGTCAGTAGATATGTCTGTAACTCATTCATTATTAAAGTTCCATAAAGGATTCACCTAAATATATTTGCTTCTTGAAATTGGACAAATCTGAGGTATTCTAAGGTGTTATGAGAACAAATAATAATCTAGTTTGAAAAAAAGAATTGTATACTAGACATAATTTTTCCCCTAGTCTTTATATCTTTGCAACCTGATGTTGTAAACCTTTGATATTTCAAACTACACCTATAATTAATCTATCATAATTCATGGAAAATTCATACGAAATCAGCATACCCAGACATTAGAAGTAGCAAATTTAAAGTTAGTACTCATTTTCTGCACTGCAAACTAGACAGGATTTGTGCAATATTACTGCTATAACTTTGAGATTTCCTAGCTCCTTTAGTTTTGATTTTGTGCAAAAGCAAAAATTTATTTGGTTCCATATTTGAAATGAAATTCAAAACATTTTTTTCTACTCAATCACACTTTAATTTTAGCAGTTATGATTGAAAAAATAAAAGATTAAAATTCTACGTAAAATTTGGTTTAGTTTGACGTGAGTAACCTTCTGTGTGTCACTGTATCCCAAGATCCCAGTAACATCTCCGAATAATATAGAAAATATTGGCATAGATGCTCCCATAGCACAGGACGCTAACACACCTAGAACACAAATACAGTTTTTAGTAAATACAGTGTTCATTGTTTTAGAAAGGGAAATAGAGTAGATGAGAATTAAGCCAATTACTTAAAAACAAAACTATATAGTGCTAAAATGTACATGTAAAGGGCTAAAGAAAAGCATAAGCAAGTCTCAAGTGTCTTAAAAATTGATGAGACTTTTTATAAACAAGCTAAATCTATATAAGTGGTAACTAGATAACTAGGGAATATACTGACATGATGTATAGAGTGGTAACTAGATAACTAGGGAATATACTGACATATTGTATAAAGTGGTAACTAGATAACTAGGGAATATACTGACATGATGTATAGTGGTAACTAGATAACTAGGGAATATACTGACATGATGTATAGAGTGGTAACTAGATAACTAGGGAATATACTGACATATTGTATAAAGTGGTAACTAGATAACTAGGGAATATACTGACATGATGTATAGAGTGGTAACTAGATAACTAGGGAATATACTGACATAATGTATAGAGTGGTAACTAGATAACTAGGAAATATACTGACATAATGTATAGAGAGGTAACTAGATAACTAGGGAATATACTAACATAATGTATAAAGTGGTAACTAGATAACTAGTGAATATACTGACATAATGTATAGAGTGGTAACTAGATAACTAGGGAATATACTAACATAATGCACAGAGAGGTAACTAGATAACTAGGGAATATACTGAAATAATGTATAGAGTGGTAACTAGATAACTAGGGAGTATACTGAAATAATGTATAGAGTGGTAACTAGATAACTAGGAAATATACTGACATAATGTATAGAGTGGTAACTACATAACTAGGGAATATAATGACATAATGCACAGAGAGGTAACTAGATAACTAGGGAATATACTGAAATAATGTATAGAGTGGTAACTAGATAACTAGGGAGTATACTGACATAATGTATAGAGAGGTAACTAGATAACTAGGTAATATTCTGACATAATGTATAGAGAGGTAACTAGATAACTAGGGAATATACTGACATAATGTATAGATTGGTAACTAGATAACGAGGGAGTATACTGACATAATGTATAGAGAGGTAACTAGATAACTAGGGAATATACTGACATCATGTATAGAGAGGTAACTAGATAACTAGGGAATATACTGACATATTGTACAGAGAGGTAACTAGATAACTAGGGAATATACTAACATATTGTATAGAGAGGTAACTAGATAACTAGGAAATATACTGACATAATGTATAGAGAGGTAACTAGATAACTAGTGAATATACTGACATGATGTATAGAGTGGTAACTAGATAACTAGGGAATATTCTGACATAATGTATAGAGTGGTAACTAGATAACTAGGGAATATACTGACATAATGTATAGAGTGGTAACTAGATAACTAGGGAATATACTGACATAATGTATAGAGTGGTAACTAGATAACTAGGGAATATACTGACATAATGTATAGAGTGGTAACTAGATAACTACAATGATATTGTTACTTTTAATTAAGAAATATGACCGGTAATTTTACAACATATAACCAGTTATATGTTTAATTTATAAAAATAACATTTGCAGGAAAGAGATCAGTTACAAATTATAGCATGCTTACTGCTCACCAACATTCTCAATAAGAAGACACTTATTATTTTTATTGTACTTAATACGACTTACCTACTAAGATATAAAACCACTCTGGAGAATTCACCCTGGAGAGGCGAATAAAATCTATTTTTGGCCTCTCGTCTGAATCCTCACTCAAAAGTAGCTCTTCAGACCTTAAAAGTTTGTGTTGAAAGGGACTGAACATTACATTTCAATTGACCCTCCCTTAATAGACTGGTTTGTCCATTTTACAACGGTACATACAAGCTAAACCTTTGTCTCATCAAAAATAAATGAAATATTTTTGGTTGATTAATTAAAATGGGTTGATTTCAATCGCCAAAATGATATGCGGATTTGTGAAGCAAAGACGATGAAGGAAATTGTGAAAATTTAACACTTTTTGCAATTATAAGAGAGGTTTCATGGATCCCATTGTGGTACGAACATGACACGCTTTAAAGGGCACTTAAAGATTACGCCAACAGTCTCTTTAACAAAGAAAAATGCAGGGTTCATTCATAATTGATTTTTTAAATCAAGGATAAAACTGCACCTATTGTCTTCCTCTAGAATTTTTTCTTTCTGTGTCACCTCCGAGACAATAAACTGTTTTTCATTATTTGGTCTCAAATCGTTTTCTTCCTCATTTCCTGTCAGCTGTCTCATCACTAGGTTATGATAGAGTCCTTTCAGAGCCATCAATTCACTGTGAGTTCCTTGTTCTGCTACTTTTCCCTGTATCATTATTATTTTTTTAATAAAAGCATTTATGTTTATATAAATCATTAATTTCATAAACGACTATGTACTGTAATGAATGTGTGAATTATTTGTTATGATAACTTAAATCAACTTTAGATAAATCCTTTGGGTACAAGGCCCGAAGATAAGATACCATCAAAAGAAAAAATTATAATACTTAATTATAATAATGTTAATTTTAATCAAACAGATAATATTCAACAAATACGCAACCAATCTAAAAACGACGAGCATGAGAATCTCAGATTTACTTATTTTATTATTTGAATTTAATAATTTTTCATTTTTAACAGATATAATTGATAATATTATTTTTACGTAAAAACGTTTTGGTATAATTTTGACACTGTTTTAAGTCAATTTCTCGAGACCAGAACTCAAATAGATGTCTTATAGGTATCGTTCAGCCTATACCCCCTTTCATTTTTTCTTTACATTCCCTTTAAGTAAGTAATAAAAACTTTGAACTTCTACGAGTTCTTGATTTTCCTTAAAAACTGAAGTTCATTTGAAAATCTGATGTAAATCCTTTAAACTATATTTTATTTACCTTATCCAAAGCTACAATAAGATCAGCTGAGCGTATTGTGGAAAGCCTATGCGCTACAACTATAGTCGTGCGCCCCGACCTTGCTTTATCAAGAGCAGTTTGAACTATACTCTCGCTCTCATTGTCTAGAGCAGATGTTGCTTCATCTAGAAGAAGAATTTGCGGATTTCTGATCAATGCTCTAGCAATAGCAATCCTTTGTTTCTGTCCCCCAGATAGTTGAGTTCCTCGCTCCCCCACCATAGTTTCGTATTGTTTTGGTAATTGACTGATAAAGTTATAAGCATTCGCCTCTTTACAAGCTTTCTCTATATCGTCATCAGTAGCAGTAGTTCTTCCGTACAGAATGTTTTCTTTGATTGTGCAGTCAAAGAGAATAGGCTCCTGTCCCACAATTCCTATATTATTTCTCAGCCAGCCAATGTTTAAATCTTTCAGATCAGTTCCGTCTAAAAGTATTTGCCCTTGGTGTGGATCATAGAACCTTTGAATGAGTTGTATACAGGTTGATTTACCACAGCCAGACGTACCAACTAGAGCAACCGTTTTTCCAACGGGAACCTCTACAGAGAGTCCGTCAAGAATGGTTACATCTGGACGTGAAGGGTAGTTAAAGAAAACATTTTTAAGTGAAATATTTCCTTTTATCTTGTTGGGAACCAATCCTTGATCACTACTGCTGTCAATTTCTGGAACTCTTTCAATAATTCTATAAATAGTTCCTGCAGCACTCTGGGCAATTGCTAGGGATTCAAAATATGGTGCTGCCTGTCCTATCTGAAAACCTCCGATCAGAATACTGAAAAACACTGTTAGGAGGGATTTTGCGTTATACCTTACGCATTCTTCGTAACAAGCCTTTAGCTCAGCTGCATCTGCTGTGATATTAAAGTTTGTGGAACATAGCATGCATTCAGCGGATTCTAAATCATCCATGATAAGTTTAACTCCGTACCAGAATCCTAGACCATACACTGCGAACATTATTCCAAATGTCACCCCTCCGCTGGCGCCGGTCAACATTCCTCTAAGGATTCCAGATTTTCTTGCCCCAGCCAGGTTTTCTACATATCTTGTGATTTCCTTATCCTTTCCACCGAAGGCAACAACTGTTCGTATTCCACTCAGAACTTCTTCTGCAATCACTCCAGCCTAGATAAATTGTATTAGATGAAGCAATCTTCAGCCTGGTTAGATACCTTGCACCTTCAGGAATCAATAATAATAAATAGTTAAAGTTACTGCACTGTTCACCTGGTAATAATTACAAAAAAAAATTTTAGATTTTGAACACAACTAGGACTAACTCACCACTCTTATATTAACACTCAGAAAATTAACCAATTGCTTTAAATTTGGTTTTTTTTTTAAATGTAACCTGCCTGGACAAAAAAAAATTACTAGAACGCTAGCTTTAATAATAAGGTCAGATTAAATTCGGTTCAAATTCCAAAAAATTTCAAAGCATTACTTTTGCATAAGCTGACATCTCCTTTTCAGCCAGTGTGGTTTGAGCCTTTGCCAGTACTCCCCCAGATATAGACATCAAGGGAATCATGCACAGTAGAACCAGGGTCAACTCCCAACCGTAAACAAACGCTACAATCAGACTGATCAGAAAGGTTCCCATGAAGAAAAACAACATTCCAATCTTTTCTCCAATTCCTTCCTGTAAAGAAAAAATTTGAATATTAATCAATCTTTAAATCCAGTAAATGATTTCAGTGGATGATGCCAACAACAAAATATGTAATTTGATATTTGTAACCTGAAGCTTGTTTAAGTCGTCTGTCATTCTACTGGCAAAATCAGTGGAGGTGTTAGTATCATACCAAGATATATCCTGTCTCAGGACAGCCTAGATATAAATACAGACTTAATCCACAACCTCAGGTTATAGTTTATATCGTTTATTTTCACATTTCTCTGTTTGAAAAAAATCATTCAAAAGTTTTCAAAAAAGATATACTTTGTAAAATTTTCTTTTGTCACATTGTAAAACGAAATAAAGTGGTTAATTTCATGATAACCATTAACAAACTTGTTCTTTTTACAGTGATTATTACTTTTTATAATATTTATAGGCCTATTCTTAAATTTTGTTATTTTTCTTTGAACAATCACAAAATAGATTTTCTCTTGAGTATTCAAAGTTTTTTTTTAGTGAAAGTTGGTTTATCAAAAAGATGTTTTTTGTTCATAAAAACTTGCAAATATCACATTCCCAACCTCTGTATATTTTCACTTAAAGAAACATTAAAAAAGAATTGAGTCCTTGCCATAATGTCAGATTTTCTAATCCTTATATCTTTGCAATCTTATGTCGTAAACCTTCTCCACCAGATCAAATATCCCGAGTTTAAAATATAAAAATTTAGACCATCAGATTGCAACGATATAGAAATTAGATAATGTGGGTCTGATTTACCTTTAAGAACTCTCCTCTAATCCTAAAAACCTGTCTTGCTGCAGCTGTGTTAAAGCATGATATAAAGATGTAAGCATCAATCCAAATTCCAAAACCTTAAATAAAATAATCAAACATTTCAAATATCCATTTTTTTCTGCGTGAACCAACCTGGTAACAATAACAACAATTTTAAATTATTAAAATCATATCCCCTATTTCTTTGATCTAAATATGCGTATGTTATAAATGTTTTGTCTTTAAACTGTGGAGAAATAAAATAAATGAAAATTTAATATTCTAGTCAACAATACCGGCCATAATTCTTTCTTTAAAGGGACCGTTTACTTATTTGGGTAATTTCAGGGTAAACTAAACAGCCTATTCTCTCTAGATTGGTAATAGTCTTACTTTTCAAAGACAACGGTGGCCGGAGAAAAAGCCGATTTGTCGTTCAGAATTTGAGCGGAAAGGGACAGTCCCTCTCTATAGACACTATTTGATGTTTTTTTCAGTAACAGCAGTCCAATAACATTTAAATTTATTATATTTTAATGTCATTATAAGTTCGTTATTATGTACTAAAATATGAAAACTTTTGATATTTGAGTTAGCAAGAAATTTACGTTTTTCGTATTAAAACATGTAAAATGTGTATACAAAGACGACGTCTCTACGACAATCAAAATCGTAGATTTTGTAGATTTTTCTTCCCGTATGTGCACAACTTTTCATTTGTCATACCGCGTAAAATTCAGCTTTTTACACAGGCAATACACAATTTTGAATGCAATAAAATAGTGTTATTTTAGAAATAGAAAGTTAAAACACAAAAAAAATAAAAAAATAATGACATTTACAATTAACGATTAGATACTACAGTTTAATTTTATATTCGAAATTTATTTTGATTCACAATATACTGAAAAAAACATCAATTAGTGTCTATATAGAGGGACCGTCCCTTTGCGGTCGAATTCTGAACGAAAAATCGGCTTTTTCTCCGGCCACAGTTGTCTTTGAAAAGTAAGACTGTTACCAATCAACAGCGAATAGGCTCTTTAGTTTACCCTGAAATTACGCAAATAAGTGAACGGTCCCTTTAACGTTCCTATATTCTGGATTTACATAAGCTTATAATCATAGATATGTTTATATAATAAAGTTATTCGCTCATATATATTTATATATATTTATATATATTTATATATATTTATATTATTTTTATTTATATGATTTAAAAATATCTTTTCCTAAAAATAAGAATCCTAAATTAATCTGCAAGTTTTGGTGAAAGGAACTTCAACTGCATTAAAAAAGAATTTTTCCCCACAGACTCCGATTTTATCATTTCTTTATCTTTGAAACCCAATGTTGTAGACCGTAGATATTTCAAAAAATCCAAGTTTGACATATCAAAGGTTTACAGAATCAGGTTCCAAAGATATCGGGATTAGAAAATTAGAGTTTGTGGCAAAGACTCAATTTCTTTTCAGGAAAATTAAAACTTGCGTGTCAACAACTCTAATATACTTTAATATACCACTTTAGATAAGAAAGTACAAGAATTTAATTTATTGACCTATTATATAGAGAAAGATAAGAAAATATTAATCATAAATAATTAAATTTAATAATAAAAATATAATTTTGTGTACTAAATAATGATCCAAATTCTTTAAAACTTATGCTTTAATTGTCAAGACCGGGTAGACTTTGAAGAGTTGCAAGTTCACAACTACACCTTCAAGTCTTTGGGTTTGCTTTATTAACTCACACCATCTTTTTTGTAACCCTATATATGTAAACTTTAGAACTAAATTCATTTGTATGTTGTTTAACGTGAGAACATGAAATTTGTGATTCAACATGAAATGTAAATATGAATTCTACTAAATGAACTGAGAAAAAACTTTATTCTTGATTAACATAATATTTTTTAAATTTTTTTATTAATATAAAATATATTACCTATTAGTACCATCTGCCAAGCAAATCGTTCTAGGACTGGAAGCGGACTAAACTCCCCACCTTCCCCTGATCAGAAACATTTTAGGGCAAATCCTCATATCTTTGCAATCTTATGTTATAGTCCATTTTATACTTCAAACTTTAAATCCTGTTAGATTACGTGTCAAAGCTTGAAAAAGGTTTACACCATTAGGTAGCAAATATATGAGGGATTAGAAAATAAGAATATAACGTATTTTTTCCGGTCTTTTTTCATTTCGCGGCAAAATAAATAAAATCCGTTGAAAAAATAAAGTTTTTCTTCTTTATTTTTAGCACTTGTTGTGAACAGTAAACAAAACATTATTAAATATTATATTTCCTTTCCTGTACAGTTGGTTGCATACTGTTCATATTCCACAAATGCCTGAAGAGTGTCTCCGAAGATAATCGTCATGACAGGAAGTGCAGCGCCACCAAGCATCGCTAAATTTATTAAAAATTACAGTGACCCTTCATGCATAAATGGCAATGCTCGATGTACAACGGTACCGTTTGCTTTGTCTCCTCAAAAATAAATTAGATATCGGCTTCTCTGTGAAAGTAACTATGCGCATTTCTTGCTTGTAAGAAATAATAAGAGAAATAAACACTTTTGGAGTTCATTTAGTTGTTTGATCGCAGCTGAAATAAATGGTTGTATAGTGTAGTACCTGGCCAAAGACAAGATTTAATTTGACATTGTGTATACACAAGTCTCCTTCAGTAGAATTTCATTGAAATACATCACGTATAAAGATATAACTTCCATGTTTATAGGGACACCCTGTCAAATATGCAACAGAACCTCTATTTGCAAATTGTCTCGTCCCAAGATTGCGCAATATCCATGAGAGCATGCGTACTCCGCACTTTTCAAGGTTGGGGTCAATAACCAGCTAAATGTTCATTCAAATTGAGTTTTCTTGTTGACTATTTGTTTTTAATGTTTAAATGAAAAAAAAACAAGATCCCGGGACGGAATTCTAAATCATCCTTATTTAAAAAAACACTAAAAGGGAGTTTTCGCGAAAAATAATAGGGGGTATAGGCTTAATGCGATAAAAAAGCGCTTTTGATCGCTACTAATCTTACTTCTATCTGTCGCGTCTATAAGGAGAAAATTGTTTAAAACGACTAATACCGAAGAACGAAGTGTCTATACAAATTCAGAAAGATGCAACATTCAACTCGGATTGTAACCAAATCAATTTAATTCCAAACAAATCATTCAGGTATTACAAACAATAGACATCGATTATTTTTCGACGCATTCGTAAATAGTTGATATTTCATAATATTTTGTATTTTTCATGATCTGAGAGTTACTTTTGAAAACATTTATTCCTGTTTCGAGGATTTTTGATAATGAAGACGTCATTTTCATATTTTCCAGGAATGTTCGAAAATACAGCGCCAGCGAAAATTATTTAGGGATTAGAAAATTTGAGTTTGTTGCAAAGACTCAGAAACAAAGAGACCTACCAAGGAGAATACCAGTTATGATGAGTAAAGCATCGAATGGAGTTGAGAACTTGAAGAGCTCAATAACACCAACCGAGGGAGGTGCTGCGGGTTTATCTTCTTTCTTTTCCTCAGGCTTGTCATCTTGAAAGGAAAACAGTTAATTTGTATATTTACGAAATGTTTTTTTATTGTTTGAAATGTCTGTCTGGTGATTTCTGTGTTTGTATCAAAAAAAACATTAACCTGAATAACCAAAAAATGGGTCCGAATCTTTAAATAACCTTACAACTAAATTATTATTGACACATGAAGCCAAATTTTCTAAACATGTTTAATAATAAGAGTCAGTGTTAAACAATAGCAATTGTTAGGATTTCAACGTATTGCGCAATGATAAGAAATAATATGTTTCTTTCAAACAATATTTGAATTAACCAGTAAAGTAACCTTCTTTCCCTCTTTCCGTCATCCAGTTATTTTCAGTCACTTCGTTCACTTTCATTTTCTCTTTTTCCACGTCTTCATATGATGGAGGCTCCTCCTTAAACTCCATTATTTTCTTACTAACCGAACAGTTTCTAGGTCTTTATCCGACTGCACTGCTGAAAATAAGACGGAGAGATAAAATGCTGCGGGCGTTTAGAACTGTGTACTGTGTACAGTGTTCACATTGACACCATGTTTTGGTTGGTATGCAGGCAGTTACCATATAAAGATATAAGGAGTGCCTCCAGTGGAGAGAAAATACACTGCGACGTCACAAAGAGTACGCTTGAACTGCAGTACAGTGTTACTCTGTAAAATGAATATGATGCGATTGATGAAAATGTCTATTAAAAAAGAAAATGAATTTTTACCACAAACTTTAATCCCTAAATATTTGCAACCCGATGTCGTGTAGACCTTTTATATTTCAAGCTATGAATTCTGTTAGATCAATTGCAAAGATTTAGGGATTAGAAATTTAAAGTTGTGGCAAGGTTCAATTCCTTTCTTTAGATGTTTTAAATAAAAATTAGAAATAACAATCAATTAAGTGCAAAATCAAAAATATAAATGTTTTATGTGTTTTATACATGAAATAAAAAATGTTGTTGTTTTAAGCTTTTTTTCTGCACACAAAATACATTATATGACACAGTCCCACCCACAAAGGATAATACCAAAAAGACGATCTGAAACCCATGAATAATATAGCGGTCCCTAATAGGATAAATAAAATCTTTTGTCTTATGCATATAATGGCTATTTAAAGGATTTTATTTTATAATAAAGTTTACAGTTGCAAGGAATCGTAAATTTAAGAACACATACCGTGAAAATTTCGTTCAGTCGTCTCTGAAGGTATTGCAGGTTGCAAAGATATAAGGATTATAACTTTAGTGTTTGTACGAAAGAACCCAGCATATCCCCAGAGTATATCAGAACATTGAAGGTTATTAAAGGCTGTCACAGTTTTCACAAACTTCAAAATTTTCTTTTTTTCGTGAAATTCTGCAAACTCATGACTCTGGAATAGGGTTTCCCGCAAAGCATGAAACTTTAAGGACGCCCAGAAATTATTTAATGTGTTTTGATGGAATATTATTGGTATAATATATTAATATATATAATATATATTAATATATTATTTAATGTGTTTTGATGGAATATTATTGGTATAATGCTTAAAAATTATATATTTTGAAGAAATTGGGTCGATGTGCCACAAACTATGGTTATCAAATTTTTTGCAACCCAATGTTGTAAAGACCTTATATATTTCAAACTGTGAATTGTGTTAGAACAAATAATCTTAGTTTGAAATATCATTTTGCATCAGGTTGCTAACATATAGAAATTTGAGTTTTCGGCCTTTTTAACCTTCAGATAAAGTCAAATGAAATTCCACCATGTTGTCATTTTCATATAACAATTTGTAAATATTATCAGTGTTCTCATATTTACGTACAAATAGTTTTAGATATTATTTAGATTGCATGTTCTGCAACTTGAGAGGTAGATTCAGAACGGTGACCCATAGCGAATAAATCCTCCAGAGTTCATCAAAAATTAATATTCTCCGGTAACAAGGCAAGTTTTTTGTTTCGGAACTGAAAATTAATTTTTTCAGTCTTTAGTTTTAAAACGGAAAATCTGTTTTCTTCGGTTTTTCGTTTTCCGTTTTAAATTTAAAGATAGTTACAGGTTTTTCTAAACGATTTTTTCAATCATTTTCCGTTTTGAAAATTATAGAACGATCGTTTAAAAAAAACTTGTACAGCTTCCGCAGGTAAAACAATTAAATTTTTAATTTGCGCATATTAATTTCCATGATTTACAAGAAATTTCATTTTTTTATTGTTAAGTCATATTTTTGTGAGGTTTTTCGAATTTTCCTCACTTTTAATTGAAAAGTTCTCGTCCTGTATGGAGTGAAGCCAAAATTGGATTGAACGAATTGGACTCTCCTTTCAAAAGGTTAAGAACTAGGTGAGGTATTTACAAGGTTAATGTGTACACTTGAGTATACAAGTGTGTATACTGACCCCATATCTGTGCAGTGTACGCTAATTTGCCCGAGGCTGACTGTAGTTCTTGATGATTAATATTTTGGCCTTTCCTTTATTTTATCAATACATCCAGGGTTGTAATGCATGGAAAGTTATTTCAGAGGTTTACGCATTTTTTGTATTGCAGTGTACTGTCTCAATCAATGAAATATTCTGGTCAGAGGAAACTATTATGTGATTTATCAAAATTATCCAAATTTAATTCTTATAACCTCCTCGGAGATTAAACAAACACTGATCGTATCTATTCTTGTTTACAAATTCCGCCCAAAGAGAACTTATAGTTTCAATATGTACGCAGAGTATATGCAACTGAAATTAACTTTCCTTCCATTACAACCTTGAATAATCAATGAAAACATGAAAACATTATCATTTGTCAAATAATGGATGAATTACAAGCAGACAAAGATATGGATTCAAATATCACTACCATACAGTAATAAAACGAAGAGGTGAAGCTTAGCTCAGATGTACACAACCGACCTCCCTATTAATTAATTAATAGAGCAGTCGGTTGTTTACATCACGATATGTGTACGTATCTAACGCTGTACACTTGTATATAGAGTTATCGTATTCCCAAGGAGTGATTTAATGTAGATATTTGAATATTAGTATTGATAATTAGATAGACACTTAATATGGATTGTAAACACAGGATTGTATACTGCAGTACAATCAAGTTCAGTTGTTTGTTTATTCTAAAACAAGTATGACTAAATATTGCGAATATTGCATCTTTGTAGGCAGAAGAATGAAATAAATAAAAAACTATTATACGTCAAAAATCAATAAATTGGTTTTATTTAAACATGAATAAAATTATATTTTTGAATCTTTCTTATAATTACTGTTTGTTTATGGCAATACCACAATTAATTATAATTACTGTGTGTTTATGACAATACCACAACAATACCACAATAACCCCAAAGGACGAGACAATATTATAATTACTGTGTGTTTATGACAATACCACAATTAATTATAATTACTGTGTGTTTATGACAATACCACAATTAATTATAATTACTGTTTGTTTATGACAATACCACAATAACCCCAAAGGACGAGACAATATTATAATTACTGTGTGTTTATGACAATACCACAATTAATTATAATTACTGGTGTGTTTATGACAATACCACAATAACCCCAAAGGACGAGACAATATTATAATTACTGTGTGTTTATGACAATACCACAATAACCCCAAAGGACGAGACAATATTATAATTACTGTGTGTTTATGACAATACCAAAATAACCCCAAAGGACGAGACAATACTTGAGACAGAAACTAAATTCAACCTTTAGATTGTTGTTAATGTTTAACCCTATAAAGGCTGGGGGTCTGAATCTATATATGTATAGACTGGGGGGGGTGTCCCACGCCCCCCCCATCCCTTAGGAAAAGGCCTTAGCGAATAGGTATAGGGTTTAAATGCATGTTCATAGTCAAATTTTTCAAGGCCAGCTCATTGAAATAAAATTAGATCGATTACTTTTATAGAGGATCGAAAAAAAATGCTAAAAAAAGGTTAAAAAATGTAAAAAATATTTTTTGTTTAAAACAAATATCAAAGTGTGACACATGTTTCTACACCCATTTTTCAAGGGCTTTTTTAAAACTATAGTTCAAAACTATAGCTTTAGTTATAAAAAAAAGGTATGGGCTATTTAAGATTTTTTTACATACTCTGTTTTTTATCGCCCTGTACCCTACTTTAGGCATAAAAAAATTACCAAAAAAATCCGTTAAATTTCTATTTATGAAAAGTCAAAAAACTAGAGGGGGGTATCCAAATCCCCCCCCCCCCGCCTGTCTAGGGTTAAGAGCTCCAGGTCGTCATTGTTGTTTGATCTTTTGTGGGTAACCCGGCATACACTATCATGTTTATGATAAAGAGTTGAAGAGAAAAAACAATAAAAATGTTTGAAATAAGAATGTTTTAAGTTGAATTCATGCCCCAGAAACTTTATATTTTTGACAGAACTTTTAGCTAATAAATTGAAAACCTACAAATTTGAAAATTGTGAAATGTTTGCAGTCAACATTCTCGAATTCTCTTTAAATAAAGAAAGAAAATCTAAAAATTGGTCAATTCCATAAAAACCCCCTTTAAAAATACGATCACTCTATATACAAGTGTACAGCGTTAGATACATAAACATATCGTGATGTATACAACCGACCGCTCTATTAATTAATTAATAGGGAGGTCGGTTGTGTACATCTGAGCTAAGCTTCACCTCTTCGTTTTATCACTCTATGATCACTACTATGATTAAAGATAGCACCTTTTACTTTTTTCATTTCGTTTGTTTATCGTTCGTGAACTAACCAATTCGTTTTTTTCAATCATAAAAATAAACTGATTTAGTTCAGTATAAAAATCGTTTATTCATAAACTTGATCGGTCAATGAAATTGTTAGGAAACATTTTTGTATAAAAGCTATAGTTTTTTTTCTAAAAATGTATGAAAAAATGGTTTGTTCATAAAATCTTTAGGAACATTTGTTTTTGCAGTAAAGCAAACGATCTTTTCCTCAAATAAAAGTTTGAGCAGTTTTATTTTTTTTATTTCTCTGAATGATCTATTTTTTTTTGAAGTCGACACATTTTTTCATGAAAAAATTATTTGGATCTTAAAAATTTCATTCATTCAAAAAAATTATGCCATTTCTATATAATCTACCTTCAATCTAATTTATCATCACTTGCTTGCAGCTACTGTCATGTTTCGTTGGACCCCATGTACTTTTTTTAAAAAACATATTGTGTAGTTATTAAAGCATGATATAATATTTAGAATATGGCCAGATACTAACCCATCAACCCTTTGTCTGAATCTAAGCTGATTAGAGAACCTGGAGAATAGGATCAGTACACTCCAGCATCCTATACAGGATAGACGTTTGAGCCTTAGCTCTGTTGGTCCCACTTAAGGCCTGGGGACTTGTACATCATAAACAGCTCTCAGGATGATATAACTTTCATATGCCTACCGGACTACCAAGGACCACTCTATTAGTTTCTGGTACGGCAGAGATTGTATCAGCCCCGGCTAGTCCAACTACAGATCAAAGTAGACCAGATGAAGCTCTAGGTCCTCAAGATGGTTTATGTAATAGTAACACTTCAGATATAGAACAGCATGCACTTCTAAGACATGAAGAAGCTCCATCTTCTCCCAGTGGGGACATTCAAGATATGGATCAGTCAGAATACCAGTATAGACCAATGACTCCAGGT